GTAGAAGGGGAAAAGGATTGAGAAGCTGTGTTAGACTGAGAGGTAGTTTTCAAAGAGGATATTTCCTTTAAAAGTTCATCCTTTTCTTTTTCTAAAATTTGTTTTTCCTTTTCAAAAGAATCTTTTAACTCAGCGAACTTTCTCACCAATGGTGGAATGTAGGCTGGTTTCTCAATTGGTTCAGATGTAGAAGCCTCCTCTCCGTCTTTCACAGCATCCTTTTCAGGAGGATAAGTCAAGATTTCTTCAGCAGGGGTCAAAGGGAGTGCTTTCGTTTGGTAACTCTTGTTCAACTCTGTATAGTTAAAAGGAACCTCAACACCAGCCTTTGTCTTTCTCTTTTCATCCTCGAGGGCATTCGTTTCCTCAGCACCAGTGAAGGCCATGAGTTTGGTCAACCCTATTTTCATGTATCTAACATCATAGAGTTGTCTACAGTTGACCTTTTTCAGGTTCTGAGGATTGGTCAAGCCCAGGCCCTCCTTGGCGTTATAGAAACGAGTGTCCTTAGGTTGGTTAAGGAAAATGGTCTGGTTTGTTTGGTCCCTCTTAGCTAACAGGTCTTCAAGTTCTTTGATTTTAGTATAAAGAGCACCCCTTCTTTCCATTAGTAAATTGTTTACACCAAAAAGTCTAATTCTCTCTTTCTCAGTTGTTCTAAATTTCTCTGTCAAATCTTTCTCGCTAGCACTAAGTCTTTTGTTCTCAGTTGTAAGCTCAGTGATGGTTTTCTCTGAATTGATTATCTTAACATTTGAGCATGTCTGTTTTTCACGCAATTGGTTATAGACATCATACAATCTCTTGTATTTCACCTCTAGCTCCTTAAATTTATCATGCATATCAGTTCTAGAGTACGTATTAACAGATGGGTTTGAGGTACTTACTTCATTGTCAGCATTCTTGTATTCAGCAGACATGGCAGTCGAGCAGTTGTTGTGGTAGGCAGATCCTTCTTCTCCTCAGCAGCAGGGGTTGACTTCATCTTTCCTTCCTTCTCTTTCTCTTCCTCTTCAACAACTGCCATCAAGGCCAAATTCTCCTCATCATCAGAATCATCCATCCAATGGTCTTTTTCAGCCATAAGAGCATTCTTCTCATTGTTTTCTTCCATAGCCAGCAACATCTTCTTCTTGTTCAGATACATCTTCTGCTTGTAATATTCAGCATCCTTCTTCCTCATAGGCATCCTGCAGTCCTTCATTAGATGTTCAGTCTTCCCACAGTTGAAGCATCTTGGAGCATCCTCAGCAATTCCATTCTCAGACGATTCAAAAGATCGCTCTTTTCTTTTGTTGTTGCTGGTAGAGGACTTGCGGAGCTTGTTGTTAGAAGAGTTTTTCTTCTTCTGAATATGATTGTTGAACCTCGAGGTAAGAAGGGCTATCTGTTTCTAGAAATCATGCAGCTCATCATCATCTGAATCATTCCTCACTCCGACGTCACTGTCAGTACTTTCACTTTCTTCAGCTATCATCTTATCCTTCTTGGAGCCAGACTTCGATGGCTTGTCAAGCATCAGGGCAAGGGTGTCAGCAAGCTTGTCCACGGCTCCCTTCCCTTTATCAGCTGTCACAGTGGCAACCACAACATCAGAAAAATCTTCCGCATACTGGTCAAGTGTATTGTACACAGCATGGATGTCCATTTCATCAAGGTCTTTCGTGTGCCTTATCTGTGAGCCCAGCTTCTTCCAGTCAGCTCCAAGAGAAGATAGAAATCTCACATTCAACTCCATGTTTGACTTGTGCACCCCAATCTTCCTCATCTCATTTATCAACTGCAGGAATCTGAGGTAGGTGTTCTCGAGTGATTCTCCAAGCTTGGCTTTGAACGAGTCATAAGCAGTGAATGTGCTAGCTTTCTTCGCCTTTACTCCGATCTTCGTGCCTTGCATGATCTTAAAGATCTCATCCCACATCTCTTTTGCAGTTGACATACTGTCAATTTGCATATAGATGTCATTCGGGATGGCCTGCAACAGATAGGTCTTGGCAATGAGATCTGCACGGAGTCTTGCTCCGTCTTCGTTATCACACTCATCAACAGTCTTTGCTCTCCATTCAATCTCCACAGGCGGGTTGTTCCTATTATCTCTCTCAACTGCTATCATCAATTGTGCAGGTCCATTCGTGATAGAGTCTAGAAGACCTGAGGATTGATCCTTGCTCTCCAGAAAGTTCAGGAATCGGTTCTTCCATACATTATACTCCCCTCTTCTTAGAATCGGGGGTCTTGTATCGTTTCCAATTGATAGTGCATCCATCTTAAGATTGATCGGGCTGATCAGTTGATTGATTTGATTCTGTTTTGTTGGTTTCAGTACTTTGGGTAGAAGGTTCTTGTTCAGAAAAATTGTAAGTGTGAGATCGCGCAAGTGTTGGAAGATCGCTCAACCTCTCAAAAGATTGCTCAACTTTGCAAAGGATCGCTCAACTTTACAAAAGATCGCTCAACTCTCAAAAGATCGCTCAACTTTACAAACAATCTCTCAACTTTACAAAAATATCGCTCAACTACCAATTAAGGATCGCTCAACTACAGAAAATCTCTCAAGTGTAAAATCGCTCAAGGAGAATCGCTCAACAACAAATCTCTCAACTTAAGAAAAAAAACTCTCAACTCCAAATCGCTCAGCTTCCAAATCGCGCAAGGACGAAATGGGGCAAGTGTGTTGCGTGAAGTATGAGATCGCGCAGGACTGAAATCGCGCAAGTGAGGATTGCTCCACCTGGAACAATTGCTCAACTTCGAGATCGCGCAAGGAGGGTTGCGCGAAGCTCAAAATCGCGCAGGAGTATTTGAAGATGGCGCAAGTCCAGATCGCTCTTCCTGTTCTCCTTTAACGATGAGTTGCGCGATACTGCAGGGTTGCTCAACTTCTGTTCAACCTGTACGCCGAGTTTCAGACCAGGGTTTTCTTCAGAAATGATCCTAGCAATAGTAGAAACCTATTCCTTCAAACATTTTCCTGCAAAAACATCAACAAAAACAGAACAGAAAATCGCTCAAGTGCAATATCTTCGCCGATGAAGAATCGCGCAGGAGTGATTTTCAGCCTTCAATCGATTGATCAGCTCTGGCTCTGATACCAGATGTTAGGTCCCTGTTTTCTAGTCTATAATGTGTATGTATGGAAGATAGATCTGTGTTTGAAGCTTTCCATTGATGTGTAGAAGGTTTTACAGAATGATATGAATGTTAGCGTAAAAACCTTACACAGAAATAGACACTGCGGGACTAGAATATTTGGAAAAGCTTAACCTAGCCTTTCCCTTAAGGCATATATATAGCCTGCCGGGAAAGGTAGGTTTACAATCATTGGACTCCTTTTTTTAGGAGACCCATACCTAAAAAGGCATGAAAGCCTTTATTACATTTATCCTAAAAAAGCATATTCTATGATAAATAATTAAATACAATAAGGCTAAGTAACATTGATCACAATATAATGAAAATATCTCTAACACATTATACTAGTGTATTGTTGTTTTGCACTTTCTTGTATTTTATCAACATTTCATGAGACTTATTTTTTTTGGATAAACTATATATATATATATATATATGTATGTATGTATGTATGTATGTATGTATGTATGTATGTATGTATGTATGTATGTATGTATGTATGTATGTATGTATGTATGTATGTATGTATGTATGTATGTATGTATATTGACAGTTTATCCAAAAAAAAATTGTTCTTGTGGACTACGACACATATCTTACCACTTTATTCTCTTTCATTCATACTTATATCATCTCATGAGATGGTTCAAAAATAACTACTTCAATCTCATTTCAAAAAAATTATCAATAACAAATTTTTTACGCTATTCCTCAAATACACACTTAGAAGTTGTCATGTTTTTTCATTCTTATTATTTAGGAAGTATTTTTTATTCTTATTTTATTCACATTAGATCAAATAAAAATGATTCAAATCATATTAAATCAAATTAAAAAGATTTAGACCAGATAAAAAACATTAAAATTATTGTTGTTGTTGCTACTACTAATAATAATAATTGAAAAAAAACATGCAAACTTAAAAGTTTAATATAGCGGTTACTTCCTCCACTGGAACCCATAATTATAAAGAAATTTATATCTAAATCACTTGATAATTATCGGTTCTAGTGAAGGAAGTAGCCTTTATATAATACCAAGCAGTCTAACACACCACACGAGATAAAGTTTGTGAAGTGGATTATAAAAGTATTGATTAGCTCAAACGCATTTGATGTGGGATTAAAATTGATAAGCAGATCTATACGCCAATGCTTTCACAAATCACAACAAGTTGGGGACGTTTAGATATAGGGCAGGGATGGACTCGGGCCGGTTCGGGCCCGGACCGGGCCTAGGCCCGCTCGGGCCGGCGGCTCTGGAATGGGGGCCCCGGAACCGGCCCGGGTAATCCCCGGGTCTGGGTCGGGCCGGGCCTCGGGCCTTTGTTACCCCCCCCCCTTTTCTAGTTAATCCCCACCCCCCACCCCACCCAAACGGCCCAAATTACCCAGCCAAACCCGAAAATTAAAAAAAAAATTGAAACAAAAATTAAAAAGGCCCGGAACGGGCCAGGCCGGTTCATGATTTGGGAGGCCCGATCCCGGACCAGAACCCCCACGGGTCGGGCCACCCGGCTCGAGTCCAGGCCTAATATAGGGTATTCTCTAATCTTCTATTTTATTTTTATTTAAAAATATCAAAACTCACTAATTTTATGAGATACATTCCCATGAATCTAACAATTCACTAATTGGAAATATATCATACTATTAAATCATTAGTGGAAAAACAACCATCTGCGGGACAACACAAGTGACGGTTTTGAAAATAACACCACATCTATCAAAAAAGGTTAACTCAATCCACTCGTGGCGGTTGTTACAACAAAATGGCCGCCTTTACTTTATTAAAATTTAACTTATCTCCTACATATATAAAGGGTTACTTCAACGCCGTTCCAATTTTTCTGCCTCTTTTCCGTTAAACCCACTTCCGTCTCCCCTGTTCCTCACGCTCGTCTTGTATTTCATTGTCGCATTTTTAATCAAAAAACATTCCATCAGAAATCGGCTTTCAAGAAAACATTCCATCATTATTCCGTCTCCTGTTCACCCATCCTCCCTGCTCTTATCTTGTCAGCGGCCTTGCGTGCTGTGCCGGTTTATCAGGGCACTCGTCATCCTTATCGGGACATCCCTACTTAAGGAGGATTGTATGCTAACAGTCACACTCAATTTCTCTCCTTTTGTCACTCTCTTGCTGGTAGGTGAATATTGATTTTGCTTTGAATGTTCAAAAAATGGCCATTAATGTCCGCTAAACTTTATTATATACTATGCTCTTGCTGTTGTGTTTTAATTGTGAACTTGGGTGTTTTCCTATTGTGTCTTTGTTCTCTTAGTTTTCTTTTATCTACATCGTTTCTTTTGTTCAGAGTCTCCCAACGGAAAGGGATTACTTTTATTTGGGGATGGAATTGGGTGGCTGGGGTGTTTGGTAGTTTGTTTGCTATAAAAAAATTTGCCCTTTTTTCCTCGTGTGTGTTTGCTATCCTTTTATTTTCCCGTCTTAAACTCAAAACCCCTCCCAACTGAAGCTCATCTTTTCCCTGCTTTCTGAGATGGGCTGCGCTTACATAGTAGACTAATCAACGGACCTTTTATAATTGATGCTACAAGAACGTTGAATCAGCTTTGGTTGACTTTTGGATTTTGGTGGGAATCCATTTTGCACGTTCTGAGGCGCAGATAGAAATGGATTCTTAGCTCCTAATGGAGTCATGAGTTTCTGATTGGAGCCTTTGGTCCATCACGATCTGCACTTATATGATACCCTTTTTATGATTATGAGGCCTTGCCAAGTATTGAATGATATTCTTGGAACATATGTGAGTTGAAGTATTTAATGATATCCTTGTAAAAACGCTTTCGTGCTACTACTTTGAACTTCAATTTGTCAACACTTTCGAAATGTCATCAATTGATTGTGAGTAAGAGGTCATTGATGTTTGGCCCTTTCTGTTTTTATGTTGAATGCATAGTGAGCCCTTTTCTTACCTGCTACCCTTTCATTCAAATTTCATTAAATTTGGTTTGGAAATTTTGGCTGCAAACTTGTGTTGGTTTTTTTTACTTCCCTCTGCCTTGTATTGTTGTGCCTTTGTTTCCATGGTTTATTATTATCTATAAATGTACCTTTTGTCTGTTTCAAATTTGCAGGGGGTTACTTATGTGCCTGAATTTATATTATTAATATTATTTGTGTGTACTAACAAAGAATTATTAGGAAGGTGCTGATGGTGCACATGGTTAATCAATACACATTTCTTAAGTGGTTAGAGCATTAATTCTAATTAATCGTAATATCATTTCAGCTGAAGTCTCTACGTTTCCTTTCACTTTTTATCTGTTTTCTTAGTATGTGTCTGTGTCAAACCTACAGAGGCCATTTATCTTGATATAGAGGAAAGTCGGTAGCATTTTGAAAAAATGATGTTATATGTAGTCGAAATTATTTTATGATATACTTATTTTGACAATATATAGTTCAGAAAATGATAGATGAAAATGCGTTTTGACACTTAAAGTGATTATTCTACCCTCAAAATGATAGTAGAATAATGCATTTTGGGTGTCATGAACTGCACTATATAAGTCTGTAACTCACAATCAATTTGAGTTTTGTCATTCACTCATTTTGTGTGTGGGTTGTGGATCGGAGGAAGAAAGGGTGAAAGAGTTTATATAGCCTATAGTTGATATGAGGGTAGGATTTTCAACTAACATTTTCTGAACTATAGCTGATATGAGGGTAGGATTTTCAACCATCATTTACTAGACTATAGTTGAAAATGATAACATTTTGACATTCAAAGTTATTATTCTATTGATTTCTATTTGAAAATGCGTTTCTCATAAATAAATTAATAACTTCTGGCTTCAGTAAAAAATTGATGTTTTAAGCTTGTGATTGTAAATGATAGTTGGGAGGATAATCCTAATCACAGAAGCGGGTTGCCTTGCGATCTTGTATCAGGACGATTGGACAAAATAGTGTTAATTAGCTATAGCTGTTTTTATCAATCTGGTATCGGCTATTTGGGTGTCTTGTATTTGAGAGTCTATTTTGACTGCTTGATGACTTTTATAAATCTGCTGTCTATGGATCGTAATCCATTAACTCAAGACAGTATACTTAGCAGTATATGTAGTCTGTTACAATCGGTAACGCATGGGCTGTGACAATGTTGTGTTATATTAGCTCTGTGATGCCAGCGATTCACGGTGTGTTTATAGCCATTGACACAGAGGTTGCGTTATGACATATAATATTAGTTTCTGGATTTAAACTCAGTTGTAGTCAGTGTATAGTGCAGCATTTTAAGTGACCAAATAGACTTCTGAATATAATTTACAGGTTTAAACAAATATTACCCTTCCTTATTACACATATAGCTGAAGTCACCCTTTATAGGAGTATGAGATAAGTTTCGTAAAATATTGTTATATGTAGGCATATATGTAGCTGAATACACTTGTTGACGTATTTATTTTGATGGTATATGTTTTAGACAATATACTTTCATAAAAAAGTATCATATAGCGGTTGTTTAAAACATTGAAAAAAAGGTTATGACTGTCGCTTTACGTGTATGCATGTACACTTTGTAATACGGAGTATATGATATACTCATTATGAGTAAATTTAGTTATCTCTTTTGTCTCTCTATTTCCATTTGCAGAATAGGGTGATGCACTTGCACTCTAAAAAAGGCCGTTTTTTGTATAGCTGCTTTCTGCAGTTCTTTTTTATTTGCAATTATGTTATAGGCGTAGTTTTAGGTGTCGGCAATGAGTAACAACAGAGTTGGTGGAAGGTCTTGTATTTGACATCTATTTTGCCTTACGTTACTGGCTGCTCAGTTTTGTGATTTATCACATATGATCCATTGGCTTTACATATTTAAAAGTGAACACCAATTGTGTGTTGAAACTGGGATTTAAATTTATACCGCATTAAAATGTTCCAGTTAGAAAACAATGGTTTGTTTTTAGATTATTTCAGTTTAAAAAGAGTCTGTTTTTTCATACACTTTTTATTACTGATCACATAAGGCTTATAAATTTATAGTGTATTTGTTCCAGAAAAAACTATTTTCCCTACTACAATTTATGCAGTTAGTTTTTCTCATCGACTATAAGCTATTTTTGTAGTGCCAACTTTTGTGGGAGTGAATCAATGAATAGACTTTTTGAACTTGTGTGGACTAAGAGACTTTAAAAGGCATATTATATAGGTTATGTTATGGCTTAAAAATGCACCATTATACTAGCAACATTGATTTTGAGGGGGAAAAAGTAGGAGTCTAATATTGTGGACATTAATATGTCAATAATATTGTGGACCATTATTGTGGATATTAATATGTCAGTTTCTCTTGATTGCGATCATATAAAGGGTAACAATATTTTGTGTTTTAGTAACTAATACTATTTGGCAATTGTTTTTTCAGCTCTGCATCTTTGTTGAGGTTGTTTTCTTGATTGTGATACTGCTGAGCCGCATCAACTGGTTCGTACCCTCTATTGATGCTTTCTTAATGGCACATACTATTTTGTTACAATCTTTCTCTATTAGAAATTCCTCACTTCCGCTCTGTGTCATTCTTAATAAAACGAAAACACGAAAAGATACAAATATACCCTTGTGGCATGAGTGTGAGAACAAATATACACATGTTCTACTTTTTGGAAGAAAAATACCCCTGAAGTTTATGTGGAAGTGCATATACACCCTTGAACTTGTAAATGGTGCAAAAAAGCCTTTTTTTATTCTTATATAGGAGCAAATTTACCTTTATTGACTTTAATTAGATAAAATAATTTTCAAAAACCGCCAAAAATAAATTATAAATTTGAAATGGAAACGTAAAATATTAAATGTATACTTGTATCCGATTCTCCCTTTTATTATTTTAATATCACAGTTTAATTTTGTTAGTATAAAATGTTATTTCAAAACTTCGCTATATATTAAAGATTCTTTTGGAAAAGTGTTAACAGATGTTTTAGAATGCAAAATAAAATAATAGTAATTTTTTGTATTCATTGACTAAAAAAATTACACATTTTGTACGATGCTAAGTAGTTCAAGATCACAAAATTGTAAATTTCAATTTATTAAGTTTGAACAAAATAAAAGAACGTTATTTCAAAATCACTAGAGCGCTACTTGTGTTGGAATTGTTTGGGAGTGAGTGTAATTGCGTTATTGAATTCATTGACTAATTTTTTACTTCTTTGATTTATTAGTTTGTTTTGTGGAAACGCTTATGGCGCAAATTGTAGTGTTCTCTTAAAATCATATGGCTGGTCCTTCTGGGTATGGGTCGAGGGTGCCCCCTGATATTCAACGTAAACGTCGAAATGAAACTGCCAGGCTTAATTACCATCGTAAAAAAAATGAAGCAAAGCGACAACGTACCCTAAATGTGGTTTCATCGAGTGACTTTGTTCCCTCTACACCTCAAGGTGGTATTTATTTATGTATTACATGTCAATACCTTTCACCCTTCTTACTTCGATTTGACGCTAATCGTTTTTTGTTGATGCTTTCGAACCCCGAAACAATAATGCCTAAATCCATATGCTATAACTCATGATCAAACTCCCGTCAAATTCTAACATTTTATGCTTTTGAATTGCCTCAATGATTCTGCACACACCTTTCCAAACAATCATTTATACACATTGGATTTATTTTTTCCTGTCTCTGTCCTTGCAATAGTGCAAGCAATCCCTACTCCACAAAGTGCGCCATATAAACTCAAACCAGTTAACCCATGTCTTTTTTGTGGCGCGAAGCGATTCCAATACGAATCTCCTGGGTTTTGTTGCGCTAGCGGCGAGGTGGTTTTAGTTGCTACAGAAATGCCTGCCCGTTTGCGCGAATTATTTACCTCTCGAGATATCTCATCAAAAAACTTTCAGTCATGTGTTCGCACATACAATAACACCTTTGCTTTCACATCTATTGGAATTCATAACTATGACAAGGACTTGTGCAGGCGCAATAAAGGCATATATACTTTCAAAGTACAAGGTCAAATATATCATTTTATCAATAATTTACTCCCCGATGGTTGCCCTCCAAGGAACTTGCAACTTTACTTCTATGATACAGATCAATCCATCCATGATAGAATGAATGCCACCGACCGTTTAGACCATGATGTGGTTGTTGCATTGATGGAAACCCTCTCTGATAATCCATATGCTCGGTTCTTTCACTCACTAAAAGATCTAGAACACAGTGACTCTTTCTCAATCAAAATCAATGGTAATCCCTCCCTTGATCAACGCGTGTACAATCGCCCAAATGTTTCTCAAGTTGCAGCTGTTTGGGTTGATGATGAAAGTGATCGGGTTAGCGGCAGTCGTAACATTCGTGTTTATGCCCGGGGTGGCCGATCCACAAACATTCAATACTATTATGGTTGTTACGATCCTTTGCAATACCCTCTGTTGTTTCCATATGGAGAGATAGGGTGGCATGAAGGAATTCCACGAGGTCGTCCGCAAACCTCCTCCATTCGTCAGAACCCTCATGCTTCCATCACACTCAATCTAACAGAATTGGAAAGTGCTGCTGAGTTGATTGCTGCTGAAGAAAGTGTGTTCGTTAATGCTAATAAAAGACAATCCATTTCTTGCCGTGAATACTACTCTTACAAGTTACAAATGTGACCAGCCGATGGTTCTATGTTCCTGCATTGTGGGAGGTTATTGCAACAATATGTTGTTGATATGTATGTCAAAATTGAAACTCAGCGTCTGGACTACTTCAGGAGCAAGCAACATGATCACCGTTCTGCCACCTACCAAGGGCTTGTTGATAGTTTGCAGGCGGGCCTTCAAAGCACAAGTGACGTCGGTCGAAGGGTAATGCTGCCTGGATCGTTCATTGGTGGCCCCCGTGACATGCGCACACGGTACATGGACGCTATGGCCCTTGTTCAGCGGTACGGGAAGCCAGACTTGTTTATCACTGCAACATGCAACCCTAATTGGCCAGAAATCAAAGATCACCTACAATTTGGGGACGAGGCACAAAATAGGCCTGACCTTACTGCCCGAGTTTTCCACGCTAGGTTGGAAGACATGAAAAAAGATATATTGGGAAAAGGTCTATTTGGTACGGTTTTAGCATATACATATGTTATTGAATTCCAAAAACGCGGCTTGCCACACGCTCACTTCCTTCTTATTTTAAGCCCTGCATCCAAATTTACTACACCTGAACAGTGTGATCGCTTTATATGTGCTGAAGTCCCAAACCCTCATACACATCAACGAATGTATGATCTTGTTAAAAAGCACATGATTCACGGCCCTTGTGGGATTTTAAACCCAAAATGCCCATGCATGGTCCGAAAAGAACCCGGGAAACCAGTTGAGTGTCGTAGTAAATATCCTCGCCTTTTCTCACAGACCACTGCATTTGATGAAAATTGCTTTCCATCATATCGACGTCGGGGTGGTGGACCAACTGTCTCTGTGAGGGATAATATTCTAGACAGCAGATGGGTTGTTCCATACAACCCAATTCTTCTAGACAAGTATGATTGTCACATCAATGTTGAGGCATGTGCAAGCATTAAATCTGTGAAGTACATCTACAAATATGTGTACAAAGGTCATGACAAAATCAGTTTGTCCCTTGCAAATGAAGGCCCTTCCGAGGTCATTGATGAGATAAAAAACTTTCAGAATGCACGCTGGATATCTCCGCCTGAGGCTGTTTGGCGCATCTTTTCTTTTCCCATTACTGAGATGAAACCCCCTGTCATTTCCTTACAGGTTCATTTGCAAAACTTTCACTATCTCAACTTTCACCAAAATCAAAGGATTACCTTTGTCACTGAAAATGACACTTCCTCAAAAACTATGCTTACTGAGTTTTTTTCCCTTAATCGCACTGAACAGAGTGCGCGTGATAGAAACCTCCTTTACACTGAGGTCCCTGAACATTATGTTTGGTGCGCAAAGGGGAAAAGATGGAAACCTCGCCAGTGCAAACACGTCATTGGCAGACTTGTAAGTGTCAATCCAAGTGAGGGAGAGCGCTACTATCTCCGGCTTTTACTATCCAACATAAGAGCCCCCACATCTTTTCAACACTTGCAGTGTGTTAATGGGTTTCAAGCAACAACATTTCGTGAGGCTGCTGAAAAAGCAGGTTTATTGTCCAGTGCATTTGTGGCCCGTGAAACTCTAGACGAGGCCATCATTTATCAAATGCCAGTGAGTCTGCGAAAACTTTTTGCAACACTTCTCTCTTTCAGTGACATAGCTAACCCTAGATCTTTATGGGACACATACAAAGAATATTTGTGTGAGGATCTGCGAAAAATATATGGAAACAGCGAGGCAGAGATCATTGTCCTAGGCCAAATTCGGGAATATTTAGATGACATGGGGAAGAACATAACTGACTACAACTTGGTAGATCAAGAGGTGCAGCAGCATGTTTTTGCCCGAGAGTATCGTGCAATTGAGTCTGAATATGCTATTCCTGTTAGCGATGCTGATCTCAATTCTTTTTATCAGTTGAACGCAGAACAACGTCATGCATTCGACACAATCATGTCAGCTGTTTTGTCAAACAATGGTGGTGTATTTTTTGTTGATGGCCCAGGCGGGACAGGTAAGACCTTTTTATATCGGTGTTTGTTAGCCACAATCAGGGCAAGGAAATGGGTTGCATTAGCCACTGCAAGCTCTGGTATTGCCGCTTCTATTTTACCAGGTGGCCGAACAGCCCACTCTCGATTTAAATTGCCCATAGATGGCGATTACAAATACACTTGCAATATACCAAAACAAAGTGCTGACGCCCGTTTGATTCGGGAAGCCAAGATGATCCTTTGGGATGAAGCATCCATGGCTCACCGTAAAAGTATTGAAAGCCTTGATGATTGTTTGAAGGACTTAACCGGTACAGAACTTATTTTCGGCGGAAAGGTGATGGTGTTTGGGGGTGATTTTAGGCAAACCCTCCCTGTTGTTCGTTCAGGGAAAAGAAATGATTTTATAGATGCATCCCTTGTGAAATCTCCGACAATATGGCCATCTGTGCAGCGGTTGCATCTCATCCAAAATATGCGAGCACATGAGGACCCAAATTTCTGTCAATTATTGACACGCATAGGAAACGGGACAGAGAAAAACATTGAATCTGAGAAAATTAAATTAGCCAGCAACTTCATTGTTTCTTGCACAGATGCTACTGCTTCCCTTGACGCCCTTTGCTCTGAGGTTTATCCTGATTTGACTACCTTCCTAATTGATCCCTATGCATTAATGACACGATCCATCCTAACAACACGTAATGAAATTGTTGACACAATAAATTCAGCATTGATGGATAAATTCCCAGGCGAACCACGCATGTATATTGCCCATGATCAGCCCATTGATTCCAAACAAAGTCATTGTGAGGACTATTTACACTCCTTATCACCTGCTGGATTACCTCCACATAGATTGCTCCTTAAAAAGAATTGTCCCATTATGCTTCTACGAAATTTGAATCCTTCTGAAGGCCTTTGCAACGGGACAAGACTCATTTGCGATTCTTTTGGAGATCATATCATCAGTTGTTTTATTGCAGTTGGTGATCATAAGGGTAAACATGTGTTCATTCCTAGGATTCCTCTTGAACCCTCTAAAGATGAGAATTGTCATGTTCCTTTCAAACGAACACAGTTTCCTGTAAAAGTTTGTTTTGCAATGACCATAAACAAAGCTCAAGGACAGACACTTGACTTTGTCGGCATATATCTAAGGGAACCAGTTTTCAGCCATGGCCAATTATATGTCGCTATGTCACGTGCTAGGAATGCTACTTCCGTGAAGATTGTCATACACTGTGAAGAAAATGAAAATCGACTCACTGACATCACGCGAAACATTGTGTATGATGAGATCTTAGCGTATATTTCTTAGTTGTGCCTTCCAAAGTAAGTGATATATCACAATAAAACATAAATCATTTACACCCCAGTGTTTACGTAATTACGACCATGTTGTCAACTTGTGTTTTCCCTTCTCATTTTTGCTCATTTTTGTCTTTTGTTTTTGCATTTCGTTGTCTGGATTAATATTATTGCAATTTGTTATGTTGTCCCTTATGTAGTCACGGTATATCTCGTATTCATTATAATAAAGGCCGTCAAGGTGATTGCTACATTCTGGTATGTAAAATATCTCAGTGTGCACATAGTTAATGTTAGTTTCAGTTTTTAACATTTGAGCATCACAGGTGTCGTTAATATAATTTCAGGTAACGGATATGTTTGGTCCCAATTTTTAGGATGTCTGGAGCAGCAATTTCCACACGAAAGTTCTCTTCTCAAGGGAAACCTGAACAGTTTTCTTTAATCAGCAAGTCAATTGAAATGGTGGCTTGTGTTCCCATTGCAGCAAACTAAACACTAGAAAAGTTGCACTCTCGAGGGTATGTTTTTATTCATCACTTAGGATTGCTCTCATCCTTTATGTTTCTCAAACTCTATTTTGTTATACCATGCTAATATACTGGTATACGTTGATTAGTGAAATTTGGCAGTCAACTTGCTTAGGCTTCTATAAGACTTTTTTAAAATGAATCTTGTATAACTGTAAATAAATTGTTTGTAGTTGTTAATAGTATGCATTAGAACTGGATTTTACAGAATCAATGTAGCAATAATCTGTTTCGTTTGCACTCAGAAAATGGATACTGGTCCTTCATATTTAAAACAACCTCTGGAAGATGCATTTTTCTCCAAGTTTGCAAGGTATTCTAATTATTATTTTCCTATTGGCTTTTATGTTTATCATCAGTTACTCATGTTACATCGTGAACTGATTTTTTATGTAAATACAAAATGGCTACATGCCAAAAATTATACTCAATTTGTTCCTGTGTATTCTTATACTCTTGTTTGCTGGGTTATTCCTAAATACTCTAACGGTTACTCATGTTACATCTACTCGTTTGGCCTATTTTTCCTTGCTGGTGGACATGACACTTTGGACCAAATATTTTACACTTGAAATCCCATATTATAAGAGCCCAAACCTTCCAGAAATAGATCTTAAACTTGATAAAATTGCCACTCTAAAAATGTTCGAACCACCTCACTAGCTCGGGTAATTTTTGGGTTCTTTTTTTGAGCATGCTGCATTCATTCAAGACTTTTATAGACCCAATTGGTGCAACTTAAACCTACTTTTTACTTCTCCACATGCAAGTTTGATTTTAGCATTTTGCTAGGTACGCCTTATCTAAAAGGTGATAATTGCCTCGCGTAATCACACCTTACTCATCTTCTATTTTCAGTGAGTACATATGCTTGTTAGTCACCTTTAAGCAAATGTTGGTGCTATTTGGAAGTGCCAAGTCTATGCTTGCATGTCAACATTCACCCACCACCGTGGAACACTTGATACCTGTTAATTTACAATAATACACTCTTTCAGTCAGATCTCTCACTCCTCTCACTGTTTTTAGCATTTTCATTTCACAAGAGGTATGTTTTTTACTCAAATTGTCAGGACACAATTGTGGGTGTTGTTTTTAATAAGAATTAGGTAGTTATCTTTTCTTTCCACTTTCTTGCTTTGAAAGCTTAGTTAGCTTCTAAATTTGCAGAAGTAGGTAGTTCTCTTCTTTCCACTTTCTTGCTTTGCAATTTCATTTTATTTTAAAGGGGTTCATTTCTGACAACTTTTCTTATCCAAAAAATGGCATGAAATTACAACAATGTTCATATAGCATGTTTGTTCACAGTTTCATACAACTTGTGCCATGATGCCACCTCACAAAACAAAAAAGTAATCCCCTTAGGGACCGATTGAAACAAACAAGGGATATATGCAGAAATATTATCAAACAACAGCAGTTGTCGCTTATGTTAATATTGTTGATTAATTTTGCTCCCTTCATATTGGTCAAATGTTTGTCATTGGGCATCAACCCTCGCGCGAGGCGCGTGCCTTTGCTAGTTTTTATAATAAAGGCGGCGGTTATATCTAAATAACCATGTCAACGAAAACAAAAATAAAAATGTCTGAAAATAGTACACACGCGCGGCGGTTGAGTCTAAAAACCTCCGCAGATTCATTTATTACCTCCGCTCCACTCAACTTGCCAATTTGATGTTCAGTAAGACATTAGAATAGTAAAAATTATGTGATTACTGATTAGAGTTTGTTCAGAGTAAAAAAAATGAACATAACCACAAATTCATTGTTTTAAAAGATAGTGACAAAAACTTTTTTGTGACAAACAAGAAAGGGAAGTTGGCAAAATCTACTAGAACGGGGAGAGTAATTTTTTTTTTAAATAAAGCATGTGTGCGGCGGTTATATTTTAGAACAACCCTTTAATTTTGTAAAAGACAACGAGATGGCTACCATGCCAGAACCTTAAGGCAGTGTTTGGTTCAAGGTGATATCTTATACATGACAGAATCTGATACTCGGAATGTGAGATACATGTGTTTTGTTCACGGATTTGATCTTTTTTTTGGAGGGGGTGCGGGGGGGGGGGGGGGGGGGGGGATGTTACATTTCCTAAAATGGAAAAGGTGATCACATGAATGGACATGTGAAACCGACTAGAGCCTTAGATTATGTTAGATTCGAGGTGGCTTATTAATTTTCTTTCAAAAAAAAAACCCATGCTTCATTAATCTAATACAAGTTCTTAACTTCTGATATACCACACACTCTTCATTTTGTAATTTTTGAAATTATAATGTATTTTTTAATTATAGTTGTTTGAAATTATTTATACAATTATACTAAATATTATAAGCTAATACGGGAAAACTGTCAAATTAACGCCATACTACTCAAAAAAGTCAATGAAACCCCTCAATTAAAAAACATTCAATCAAACCCATGAACTCAAGAAAAACTCCCAAATGGGCTCTTTAGCTTCTAAGCTTCCGGTTCCCCCATGTTCTATCTATGTGGCTTTTAGATTTAATTTTTCCTTTCTTTTTGTTTCCCACTAACTTTTCTTTCATACCCAGTCAGGCAATCCTTTCTCTCTTTCTTTTCTTTGTCTATTTGTCTCTGTCTTATGCCATTGAAGAACACCACAACCCACAGGTGAAGAAGATGACACCGACAAGTTGGTGACCAAATCCGTGCCCCTGCGTCCAACGCTCAACACTCCTTTGAACCACCTAATCCCTGGCGGCGGTTTCTTTCTTTATTTGTCTCTTTCAAGGGGCGATCCAAGAATTTGAGATGCCCTGAGCTGAATAGAAATTATACTAGGTTTAATTGTTAAAGGGATGGGCTAAACGTGAAAAATGAAAAAATTTACACTAAAAAAATTGAAAATTTTTTAAGTTACCATGGAATAGATGGAACCGTAATTAATGAAGACCACCGAAGTGCAACAGAAATTAAGATGGAACCGGGCCACCGGCGGACCAGATCTGTGCGAGACCACCCCTCTCCGGCGACAGTGAAGCTTAGATGCGAGCTCGCCTTCAACGCCATTCACCGTAACCATGATAGAAACGGAGTTCATCGGAAATGCCTGGGGATTTGCGATTTGCAAGGAAGAAAGACAACCGCTCAGTGCTCACCCACGAGAGGAACTAACCAGCAACAGAACGAAAGAAATGGGGATGGGAAAGAAAAAGGGAAAAAAACAAAAAGAAAGATTTTTTTTTTTAAATCCACATCATATGACGCGTGTTCAGTTTACCGGGAACCGGAAGGTCACTTGCTAAAAAATCAATTTGATTTTTTCTTTTGATTTCATGGGTTTGATTGAGTGTTTTTTTAGTTGAGGGACCTGATTGACTTTTTAAGAGTAGTAAGGGGCTTATTTGACAATTTTCTCAAGCTAATACTATATTTTTTCACTAATTTTTATCATTTGTGCAATTAAACATATTTTGCTTAAAATTATTTACTAATGTTCACTAATCTTAGTCATATATGCAATTAAATACATTTTTCTTAGAATTAATTCAATTAGTTTTTATTTTAATTATTACTAAGATGTTTTATTTTTCAATAGAATCTTAAAGACTTTAGAAGTCAGTTAAATAAATTATTCAAAAACATTATCTTAAAATGTTATGAGCATAATTTACACTTGATGAAAAACATTTATTATCTTAAAACATTTATTATCTTAAAATTTACACTTGATTAGTTTATTAATTGATTTCACTCCTAATTGATTGTTTGATTTCTTAATTGTTGACTGTTTTCTATTGAGTGTTGGTGTTATAACTTGTAGATTTTGTTAGACAAACATTTTCTATCATGATAAAGTTTATTAAATTAATTAATTTCAAGGTGTGATATAAAGGATTGAATCTGAATATGATGAATAAAAACAAGGGGAAAATTAGAGAAAGTGGCGCCAAGCAAAAAAAATAAATGGAAAAGTTTACCTGTGTAAAGAAATTAAATTCTGAATGCCCCCTTCAAGATGAGAACGCATAAAGAACAATAATTTAGCTGTTAAAAATAAAATGATTCAGAATGATTACATCATTGGAGGAGAGAATTTAGGAGGTGATAATAATAGAATTAATTTCTTAAATATGACCTAAACATTTAAATAGTGTACATATAGGATCATAATTATTACCCTTCTAAATAAGGATCACCAATATTATAATATGATTGGTTTAGACATGAAAGGGTTTTACAATTTTTTATAGAAGTCTTGAAATATTATTATTATTATTATTATTATTATTATTATTATTATTATTATTATTATTATTATTATTATTATTATTACTATTATTATTATTATTATTATGCATGTTAGTTTAGATAGAAAAGAGTTCTATTTTTTTTTTGAAACATTAGGCTCATTTAATTTTTCGCCCCTAGGCCTTTCAACCACCTCTGTAAATGGGCCAAACAGATCCTTAACAAATTAACATTAATCATAGATGCTAAACAAGTCGTTAAACCAGAATGGACTCTTATACCAAATTGGATATCAATCGCGTGTATACTATTCACTAGTAATAATACGCACAATGCGCGAGTGGAGGATGCCCAATATTATTTTAATGGTGCCAATGGCATGAAATTTTATTTTAAGTATAATTGAGATGTTTGGAATTAAGCACTTGTTATGTATTAAGAAAAACCATAGTTATCAAATTATTAAAAAGAGATGTCATGCGTCTCTTTTTTGAGAAAAAGTGGCAATCGTTATACGAAAAACATATGAATACACACATGCACAAATTGATTCAAATAAAAGTGATCTCTAGGTGAAAAGTAAGACTATTAGAGTAACTTTAGTGACCATGATTGTGTTCAACTTTATCACTATAGTAACTATGTATAGTGACTATATAGCTCTGTTCTAAAAATCGTTCTAGGCGCCCGACTAGTCCCCGCCTAGGCGCTAGGCGGTGGTCGGGCGCCCCGATTTTCGTCTAGGCGCTCCGACTAATTGGTTTGCCGTCTAGGTGAATTAGTCGCCCGCCTATGGCCCTAGTTGTCCGCCTAGAGCGCCTAATCGGCCGCCTAGGGCGCCTAATTTGTCGAAAATTACTTCACTTTTTAATTTTAATTTTCTAAACGATATACTTACTTTAACTTTAGCCATGAATATAAAGAAATGAAATTGTAAATAAAGATAAAACCATATATGTTTGTATATATACCTAAATTTTATCATTATTTATATTTATAACATAATAAAGTTAAGTGATTAGTTATCATATACTTCGTATGATTAAATGTGATAATTATATCATTCATGTATGTTAATGTATATGTATATATGTATTTTATACACACAAAAATACAATATTACTTATCATATTTATGCAAAAATATAGATAAAAATGCAATTTCTGTGTCTCCGACTAGTCCCCCGACTAGGCGCCCGCCTAGCCGCCTAGGCGCTAGGCGTTGGGTTGGCGCCCGACTAACGCCTAGCGCCTTTTAGAACATTGCTATATAGTAATTAATATTTTTGTCCATTAGTTATATTTTTGTAATATTGAAAGAAAGTCCTTTTATAAAACTTCAATTATAGAGAAAACTCAAGAGTAATAATATTCATAAATACAAACTTTAGGAGGAGCTAAATCTTAGTTAATATAAATAATCCAAATGACATATAGTAAGGAAATCATCCAAATTACACATAGTAAAGATACTCCAAGAATATTTATGTGTAGTACGGAGTATAACATATCAAATTAAAGAAATAGAAAGGGTTAAAATTGACAAAAATTAAGTACCACATATACCAAATTTGGTATTATACAGATCTCAAATGTAAAGTACCACATATACCAGGTATGTTATATTGTTTGACACTTGTCCTTAGTAATTATTAATGGAGGGGTGAAATGAATTTTCTATATAATAGAAGGATTAAATGTAAAAAGAAGCAAGTAAATAAATGCAAAGAAACCAAAAGGGATCTTTATATATATAAAGATCCTATGGTGGGATTTCAGGTGGGATCTATTTGGAGCCAAAACATGTGAAAAATTGTTGTCTCAATTAAATATCTATCTTAATACTTCATCAATGCACTTTCAGTTACGAAAACATGCATAATACTAGCTAATTGAGTAATACTAGCTAAAGTAGTAGTTGGGTAATACTAAAACTAATTGAGTACTCCGTATAATAATTAGTGGAATACTTTTTTTGAAGATTTTTTTTTAGAGGATTTCTTTTGAGAGGTTTTTTTTAAGATTTAAAAAATGTTTTCAAATGTTTTTGCTTAAAAAAACACTTTTTGAAATTAT